AACTCCGAGTTTCGTGCTTACGCACTCATCAGACAGACTTTAATCTTAAAGTTAAAGATTAAAGTCTGTCTGATGAGTGCGTAAGCACGAAACTCGGAGTTACAGTGAACATGTCTCGTCTTTAATCCAATCTTTACTATATATATATATGAAGAAAATTTACTCAAAAAGGGTCTTACTTCTTAAGACCCCTTTGGTGTGATGTTCGGATTGAAGACCTTTTAAACACTGTGTTTAAATTTTAAGTTTTCCCCATTTTTTTTAATTAATAGGCCACACCCATTTCCTCTTTATAAAGACCCCATTTATCTAAATATTCTTCATGATGATTCCAGCAATAAATCTGACTACCTACAAATTCAACAGCCATCCAGGGCAAGACTGGAACATAAGATATGCGCGCTTTCTGTGTTTGAAAGGACTAACGAAATCAATCGAGAAAGGTTTAGGACTTACTTGGAGAGGTCAGTTGTGTAGGTCGTTTTATGGCTTACAAAGTAGTGTTTGCTGCCATATTCAAAGAGGAATTTAATGGCCTTTGTAGCCGTGTCACGTAAGAGGTTGCAGTCACTAACAACCTTTTTAATGTATAGGCCACTGCCTAAAAGCGGAGATCCCAATAGGCACAGAGAGCCCAATTTAGATAAAACTGAAATATGAAAATAAGATCGAGCAAAAATCTTCATTTTTTCTCCTTCGAGATGAAGATATCGTCCCCCATAATGAAAACTACGAAGTGAAAAAATGAAATAGAAATACACTACATCGTTTTCTTCGACCTTAGTACTCTCCCACTTAGGAATTTTGGGTATCATGGGTGGCGTTTGTCGCTGACGCCTCGTCTTTCACCGCTGTGAGTCCAACGGGTCGGGTCGCTACTTCGAGCCCTGAGGTCGCCACATGTGAATTGAGTTTGTTTGATGTGTTGTTCTCTCCTATGCTACGAGGGGTTTCTCCGGTTTCCTCCCTCCGTAAAAATCAACATGCTGAGCTGAGCGTTGTGTGCATAGAATATTGAATATAGTGGTAGTGCGTGTGAGCGAAAAGTGTCCCCAATTAGTGCGAAAGCGCTAGAACGACTAGATACTTAAATAAAGATGATTTATTTTTTCATTTTGTCACATGTACACAACCCACCACCAACCATCCCAGGGGCTAGTTTTGTTCAATTCTTAGACAAAGCTTTGCATGGCCGACATTATTACGCTTTGAATTAATTCCTGGTTAATTTTACTTGAAAAACGAAAGATAACTACAGTTAATCCAATAAAATGTCATGTTTAGTGAAATTTAACTTGGATGTCTTTCATTAAAACCCAAATTTCGGAGATTTCCTAATTTTTATGGACAAATCAGCACGGGCATAAGAAAGACTTGAAAACTAAATTATAAGAAAAGGTGAGCAAAATACAAGCTTACTTTTACTTCTTTTGCATAACAATGTTTGGTTATCCATTTGAAGAGTTTTATATTTTTATAAGAATTGTATTTTTACCGCAATRAAATTAAGAAAATAAATGCTTAATTGGTAGCATCAGAGAGTGATCCTAATTCTTCGTTAAAA